GGGGACATTCCCTGGAATTCCTGCCGGGAATCGCCAGAGCGGGATCGGGGTCGGGGCCGTGACCTCGGTGACCCCGGAAAGGTCCCCGATCTTCCTCCTCCTCCTCCTCCTCCTCCTCCTCCTCCCCCCGAACTTCCTCTTCCTCCTTGGGTACGGAACCCCGCGGGCTGCTGGGGCACCCCTGCGACCAAAGAATTCCTGCGACCCACAGAATTCCTGGGACACTCTTGGGACTGAGACAGAATTTTTTGGGACACTCTTGGGACTGGCGGAATTCCCGGGCCACCCCCAGGCCAGGTGAGGCTGCCCCGTTCTTTTCCCGCTTTTCGGGCCCATGTTTTGCTTCCCGTCCCGGAGGAAGGGGCGCAAGGGGGATCCCCCCGAATCCATGGATCGCGGGATTTCCCCGCAGGACTCGCTGGGAGCTGCCAGGCCCCGGCAGCCGGATCCGAAGAAGTTTTCCATGCCCGGGAAGGGCCGGGACGGGATCCGAGGAGCCGGGAAGAGCGGGAGAAACAACGGGAAAGAGGCGGGAGACGGGCACGGATGTGCCCAGGTGGATGGGAAAGAACCGGGGAGCCGCCGGAATTGCGGAGCCCAGCCGGGAAAGCTGAACCCCAGCGGGATCCAAACCTTGGGGAAGGATTTTAGGGATGAGCCGGCCCGGAATGGGAATGTGCCGAGGGAAGGGATGGATCAGCCTCAGCCCCCGCTCCGGGCTGCGAGCAGCCGGGAGGAGGAGGGAGATTCCAGCGGCTCTTCCCGGAGCTGGGACAGGGATGAGGACGGTGCCGGGCACGGCCGGGAGCCGGGAGCGGAGCCCAGGGAGTGGCTCTGGGAAAAGCTGCGCAGGCTGGGAGAGGACATGGAGGAGTGGGAAGGGAAATCCACGGCGGAGCTGGCGGCCGGGCTGGCGCAGCGCATCGTGAGGACACCCGTGAGCTGCTACCCCGGGGAACCGGGAGCACACCGGGAGCCGGGAACACACCAAGAGCTGGGAATCCATCAGGAGCCAAGCTCTGGAGCCAGCCAGGACTCCGGGGTTCCCGGTAGGATTTATGGGAACCTCCTGAGAATGCTGAGAGCCGGCGGGGACGCCGAGAGCAGAGACTCGGACTCGGATTCGGACTCGGAGCCGCACGTTTGCATCGCGTACCTGCGGCAGAGCCCGCACTCCGGGGCGCTGGCAGAGGAATTCCCGAAGGTTTGGGCGCGATCCCGCCTGGATTGCGGGCGGCTGAGCGAGGAGGAGCTGCTGGACGGGGACCCGGTGCCATTCCAGAAGGAGCAGCCGCAGTCCCCGCGCGTGGAGAGGCGGATGGAGAAGCTGCTGCCGGAATACCGGGAGCACAGAATCGTGGTGAAGGGCACCTCCAGCTCCAACAATCCCTGGACTCTCATCCCGAAATCCAAAGGGCGCGGCTGGCGCCTGTCCCTGAAGTGCTCGGCCCTCAACGCCGCCACCCCCGTGGGGCCCCCGGAGCGGCCGGACAGGGACGCCATCCTGGAGTCCATCAGCCACCGCAGCCGCTTCTTCTCCGTGCTGGATTTATCCAACGCCTGCCTCGCCATCCCCTTGGCCCGCAGCTGCTGGGGCCGCTTCGCCTTCACCTTCCAGGGCCAGCAGTTCCTGTTCACGCGGTTGCCGCCGCTGTTCCACGGCACCAGCTCCATCCTGCACCGCCGCGTGGCCGCCCTGCTGGCCCGGCTGGAGCCCGGCGTCGCCCCCGGCGTTTTCCACTGCTACGACGACATCCTGATCACCGGCAAGAGCCGCCGGCAGGCGGAGCACCGCACCCGCCAGGTGCTGCAGCTCATCCAAAGCTCCGGCTTCAAAGCCAACCCGGGCAAGGCGCAGCTGCTGCAGAGCCGCGTGAATTACCTGGGAATCACCATCGGAGCCCAGGGCTTCAGCATTCCCGAGGAAAAGGTGCGGGAGATCTGCGGGTACCTCGACGCTCCCGGCCCCTGGAATCCCGCCAGGCTCCGCTCCGTCCTCGGGAAGTTCAACGCCTTCAAGAATTTCATTCGTGACCGCTACGAGCTCGTGCTGCCGCTGCAGCGCCTGGCGGGACCGGGGAACCGGGAGCAGGAGCGGGAATGGGAATGGGGTCGGGAGCAGAGGCAGCAGCTGCAGAGCCTCAGGGACGCTCTGGTGGCTGCTCCCACCCTGCGCTTCCCGGTGAAATCCCGGCCTTTCCTGATCCGGATCTCGGTGTACACGGAGACGGCGGGAGCGGCGCTGCTGCAGGAAAACGAGGGAATTCTGCAGCCGGTGCGCTACAGCTCCCACAGGCTGAGCAGCCACAATTTGTCCCCGCTGGACGCTTGGCGCCTGGCGGCCGTCCAGGCTGTCCGCGACTTCCAGACCCTCACGGGGGAGGCTCCCCTGGTGATCCAGGATCCCAACGGGAATTACCTGCTCTGGGGGGTGTGGGACACCACCAGCAGCTGCCGGGGGCCGGAGTGGACGCTGCTGGTGGCCCCCAAGGACCCGGAGCCGCGGGAATCCCGAAGGATCCAGCCGGCCCCGCCGCTCAGGGAGCTGCGTCCCGACTTTCCCCGAGCCAACGTGTGGTTCCTGGCCGTGGTGAAGGGAATATCCCGGGAAACATCCGTGGGCTTCGGCCTGGCCAACCTGCAGGGCCGGCACATGTCCGGGGTGGCCGGGATGTGCTCGGTGCCCAAGGCCGAGCTGGAGGCGCTGCGGGAGCTGCTGGAGCACCACGGGAGCCGCTCCCCGCTGCTCCTCTACTGCAACTGCCCCGGGCTGGCCGAGCGGCTGGAGCAGCGGGAGCTGGAGCAGGGCTGGAATTCCAACAGCGACTCCTGGCCCATCGTGCAGCGCTGGCTCCGAGCGTTCCCGGGAATCCTCAGCATCCGCGAGGTGGGAACGGACGCGGATCAGCAGGAGAGGGAGCGGATCGAGGATGTGAGCAACTCGGTCAGGTTCTTGCCCGAGATCACCAGGAGCAGCTGGATAATCTGGAAACCGTCCAGTTACGAGCAGCAAGAAGTGGTGGCCCAGTGCCACCGCTGGCACGAGGACGTGGAGGCCACCCATGCCAGGGTGAGGAATGTGGAATTCTCCGGAGACCGGCGGGATGTGAAGCGCTGGGTGCAGAAGTGCCCCACGTGCAGGGAGAACAACCCGGATCCCGATGCTGATCCCGATGCCGATCCCGATGCCGATCCCGATGCCGATCCCGATGCCGACCCCAACGCCCCGCAGCGGGCGCAGGGCCCCTGGTCCTGCCTGCGGATCAGCCTCTCCGGAGCCCTTCCCGGCACTCCCGAGGACTTCCAGGCGCTGCTGGTGGCTCAGGACGCGCTCTCGGGCTGGCTCGACGCCTTCCCGCTGCGCCAGCGCTCCCAGCCCGCCGTGGCCCAAGCGCTGCTCCAGGAAGTTTTCGGGCGTTTCGGGAAGGTCCAGACCGTTGTGTTGGCACCAGAGCCCTCCTGGATGTGGGATTCCCTGCAGGAGCCGCCGCTCCGGAATTTCTGGAGCCGCCTGGAGCTCTCGGAGCCGCAGGCGGCGGCCGCGGGCGTGTTCGAGGCGGCGCGGGCGGCCGGGGAGCGCTGGGCCGAGGCGCTGCCGCTGATCCTGGCCTCGTCCAGATCCCAATGGATCCAAGAGGGGGAACTGCAACCCCTGCTCTGCATTCCCGAGCTGCCCCTGGAGGTGTGCTGGGAATGGCCCAACGGGAACGACGACGGGAATGACGGGCACGAGCTGTCCCGGCTGCGCGGGATGCGGCTCCGGCCGGGATTCCGGGAGCAGGTGGACGCTTCGCTCTACTGGAAGTCGGGACGGGAATCCAACGGGAAGATCTCCGGGTTCCGGGATTGGGGTGTGCCCGATCCGGGCTCGGAATTCGCCAGGCTCCCCAGCACCATCCGCTGGATCCAGGATTGGGACGCGCCGGAGCCGGGATCGGGATGTGACAGATCCGTGATCAAAATCCGCCAGACCCGCAAGCGGGGGCCGCTGGATCGGGGGTGGGGATATGAGGCAGCCGGGATCGGGATGGCAGGGGTCCGGAATCGGGATTTCAGGGGTCCGGGATTTCAAGGATCCGGGATCGGGATGTGATGGATCCTAGATTGGGATTTCAGGGGTCCGGGATTGGGATTTCAGGGGTCCGGAATCGGGATTTCAGGGGTCCGGAATCGGGATTTCAGGGATCTGGGATCGGGATGTGATGAATCCTAGATTGGGATTTCAGGGGTCCGGGATTAGGATTTCAGGGGTTTGGGACCGGGATTTCAGGGATTCGGGATTTCAGGGATTCGGGATTTCAGGGGTTTGGGACCGGGATTTCAGGGATTCGGGATTTCAGGGGTCCGGGATTGGGATTTCAGGGATTTGGGCTTTCAGGGATTCGGGATTTCAGGGGTCCGGGATTGGGATTTCAGGGGTCTGGGATCGGGATGTGAGGCCACTGGGCTGGACTGGGGGCCTTAGGTGGGACTTGGGATAGGTTTAGGCTGAGAGAGCTTTAGGTGGGACTGGGAGAGCTTTTAGGCTCAGCTAGGAGAGCTTTTAAACTGGGCTGGGAGAGCTTTTAGGCGGGACTGAGAGGCTTTTAGGGGGAGCTTTTGAGCAGGACTGAGCAGTTTTAGGCCTGGTGGAGCTTTTAGGCAGGACTGGGATTCTTTAAAGCAGGACTGAGGCGTGGGGGGGGGGGATTTTAGGCAGGATTTGGCACCTTTTTGATCCGGTTAAGATTGAAGTCAGGACTAAGAGACTTTTAGGCCTGACAGAGCTTTTAGGTGAACCTGAGCAAGATTTTGGGACTGAGAGGGCTTTAGGCTGGATTGAGGAGCTTTTGGAACTGGTGAAGCTTTCAGGCCAAACTGAGGGGCTTTAGGCGGGACTGGGGGAGGTTTTAGGCAGGACTAGGACAAGTTTTAGGTTTAGAACTGTTGGAACTGTTAAAGCTTTAAGTCGGGACTGGGGCACATTTAGGCCTGGGAGAGATTTTAGGCTGGACTAAGCCTGGCTCAAGCTCCTGCTCCTCTGGCTGGGCCCAGGCAGGGAAATCTCCCAGTTCCTACTGGTTTGAACTGGGCTGGGCTTTTCCCTGGGAGCACTGGGATGGGGCCACCATTCCCAATCCCAGGAGCACTTCCCCATGTCCTGGCATGTTTTCTGGGAATGTTTTCTGGGAATGTTTTGTCGGGAATGTTGTTTTTTCCCTCTTTTTCTACTTCTGGTTCTCTTCATTAAACCTGGTTTAAACTGCAGCCCTGAGTTTTTCCTGCTTTTCTCGTGGTCAGGATGGGGTTAAATCCTTGGAATTCCTGCGGGCTGGGAGCAGGGAGATATCGCGGAGAATTCCTGGTTATCTCCACAGCTCCAAGGCCCTTCCTCCTCCTCCTCCTCCTCACATTCCAGGGAACCCTCCCCCAGATCCGGGGAATTTTTGGGGGCTGAATCCCAATTCGTGCATTCCAGGGGCTTTTCCCGAGGCTCCTTCCCAAGGTTCCAGTTCCTCCTGCCCCTTAAAACCCTGGAATTCTGGAATAACCGAGGTGGGAAAAGAGCCTTGAGGGATCAGTCCCAGGAATTTGGGATCAGCCTGAGCCAGGGATCAACTCCAGGGGCTGGGAATTCTCGGGGATGGGGATGGGGAGGAACATCCTGGGATGCCCCAAAATCCGGGAATGATGTGCTGAGGGCACAGCCCAAGGGGGGCTCTGCTCCTTCAAATTCCCGGGATTTTTGATTCCCTGAGGGGTGAGGGGGGGTCTGAGGGACCTCGGGATGTTCCTGATCCCGAGGGAATCCCATCCCTGATCCGGGGTCACGGCTCCAGCCAGACACTGGGAACGGAACCATCCCGGGATCCAGGAGGGACCCCGGCCCCTCATCCCGGCCCCTCATCCCAGGATTCCGGATCCAACCCTCAATTCCCTGTCCCAGGTCCAGGAATCACATCCCCGACCCCATTTCTCCGTTTGGGATCCCCCGAGCCAAATCCCAAATCCAGGGGTCATTCCCAGCATCCCCAGACCCATTTTCCAACCCCTGCCCCAAATTCCGGGATCAGATCCCAAACCCATCCCCTATTCCCACCCCAAATCCACATCCCAGCTCCCCCATCCCAATCCCAGACCACAAATCCTGTTTCCCTGGAGCTGATCCCTTCTCCCAGCCTGGACCCCATTCCCATTTCCCATCCCCTTCCCTATTCCCATTCCCATTCCCCATTCCTGTTCCTATTTCCATTCCTGTAATCATTCCCCATTCCCATTCCCAT